GGGCATTTCCTTTACAACAAGAGACGTGAAACTGTTACCGTCTGTCTCTCCTTACTGCTTTGTTTGTCTATAAACTAAAACCTTAACCATCCTTTAAAAATGGACCACGAAGCTTTTTTTTTGTAGAAAAATGTTCAATATTTCTTTTCAAAATATTAGTTCACTAATCGGAAGAATGCGCAGTCCACCGACTCAGAATAATTTTTGTTCATTTGGTGCTTGATTGTCTTCGTGTTTATTTCCGTTTTCGCTCAAGAGATTCATGCTTTCCCCAAGGATATGCATGCAAAAGTGGACGCAACACGCTAGCCCGAAATTTGAACTCGGCACGCCGATTCCATTTATCGCGTTAGTTGAAACAATAAAAAAATTACATATATGTCAAATATTAGATAAGATGAAAGTATAAAATTTGGAAAGTGATCTAAATTTGTCTTAAAAATATGATTGCAATAAAGAGTGCCCAATAATGAAAAGTAAAGTTATAACAAAAAAAACAAAAACAAAAAAAACCCCGAAAAACTATTAAATAAACATGTGTACCCCTAATATCAAAAATGATGTTAATTGTTAGAAAGTTATAATATTGAGATTAAATGAAACACGGGTTTTATAACAATGCTTTGAGAAACAAAAAGGGAGACCAAGTCTTCGCAACTAAAATAAAAGTGAATGGATTTTGTAATTATTTCGTTCCCTTACTACTACTTGTTAAAACGAGTTTAGTTATATTATATAAAACAATGATTATATTAATTTTTTTATATGACATAATAAACTTTCAGATTTCCCAACATAATCAGAAGCATCTGAGGTATTTAGACTATTTGTTCTCATTACTATGTTTCCTGTAATAAATACTTTTTGAGAAATATTTCCTTGGCTGGATATCAAAATCGGTTAACCGGAAAAAAATGACTCACCCTTTACGTTACAGAACTCAGAAGTCATTCCAGAAATTGCAACATAAACAGAAGCTACAACTGAACAGTAAAGAGTTAATTTAATTCCGTTAGCCCTATGTTTCTTGCAGATGCTTTCATTTGAAGAATATTACTTGGTAGTTTTTATTTTCGATTCTTAGATTGAAGTTGTTTTAGATTTTTGTTTTTCTGCTGAGCGCTGCATACAGCTGGCCATGAAATACACTGGATTTGGTAAACAGACACCACCAGGAGAAAATGGCTGACCTTCCTACTTTTTAATAGAAATGCATAGAGTGGGACAGAGAATATATATATATATATATATATATATATATATATATATATATATATATAGAGAGAGAGAGAGAGAGAGAGAGAGAGATGGATAGATAGATGATGTTATATACTACTGTATCGGTTACTCACAGAAAGTTAAGAATCATTGATTTAAAAATGTGGTGATTTCATATTAATATAAACTTAATCTAACAACAGACTAAAATTAAGTATTGGGATCGATTCGCTGGATATCTACGTATAAGACATGAAAAAACTACAATCAAGTTAAAGAAAACGCAAAGAGCAATAAGTAGAAACATTGAAAAGAAGGAAGGACCTGCTGCACAGTGAATCTCTATTGTTGGGCTAGTGAAGTCGGGTATCGAGTATGTTGTATGTTTGAAAATAGAAAATTGAAGCAAATACATAGATACTTAAGACCTTCTCACCAGACAGGGTTATCCACCCCGAAGGTCTTTTTTAAATTAGTTCCAACTTAATGTTTTTTCGACGCCTTAAAAAAATTGGCGACTGTACTGCGCAAATTTGAATATGATGCATGTGCTTGAGATAACTTTTCAGACTGACTATTACGATGAGTATATTGGACCTTCTAGAGCACCTCGGCGTGGTGTAATGGTTAGCAAGCTTGTCTCGCTAGATCAGTTACAGCTGAAACGTGAGTTCGATCCTCACTTGATGCCCCATACTTTTGGCTTTGTGCCACAGCTATGCTTGGAAAATAGCTATATTGGACTTTCTATATTTGCATCACAGTATCAATTTTTGGTATTAATAATAAAAGAAAAGAAATACAAGTAAAGCATAAATGCTGCAAAATATTTAAAAATAAAGAAAGCAACGGCACATGCGTCTGAAAAGATACAAAATACGATGACAAGATAAAACGCTTCACGATCGATACGCTGCCGATAACAAAGAAGCTGAGGAAGACAAACTCCAATAGCTTCATGTCTCGCACTTCTCGCCTGTGGAATTCCCCCCCTTTTCCTGTTTCCCTGATAGCTATAATCTACAACTAGTCTAATGTAAAGTCAATCGACGTCTCCTGATGCCTTGATCTATCCTCTATCCTTCTCTTCATCCTTTCCTCTTTGCTTTCGCTCCAACTCTCTGCCACCCCTTGTGTGCTAGTGGGTGAAACACATAAAAAAAATAGCCGTGCCGTTTAAGTCTCTGGTGGAAGCCGGAATGAAATATATATATAACAGGAAATAATAATAATAAGAAGAAGAAGAAAAAGAATTGATATAACAGTAAATATTGTTGGAAAAGAAAAGAAATAGAGAATAATATCAAAATTTAAAACATGGGATATCAAGAAATAGGTCCTTAACAATATTTTGATCCTATTGCTGAACGCGCCTTTCGAAGTGTGTCAGGCAAAAAATCAAAAATGGCTGTTTGAAGAAGAAAAACTGATTCGAATTGAGATACTTCAGAAAATAGCATTGCTTTAGGCAGCCACATTTCTCAAAATTTTTATTTATTTAAAGAATTGAAGACGTATGAGAACCCAAGGTAATTTGTTATGTCTCTTGATCGTTAAATTTAGGCATACGTTTGGGTTGTGATAAAGTGATATGAATAACAACACAAAAGAAAATATAACAAAGCTGGAGCTGAATCCTTGTACATTGCCAGTTTCTTTTCAGAAGCAAAAATGCTGATGTAGATCAGTTTGCAACCCCCTCGTGGTAAATGAGTTCAGGAACTAAGGTTGAGACTGAAGTGTTGAGTCTTGTTGCGCATGAGCAGAACGTGCTCCCACGCAACTACCGACTATTGCATAATAGTAAGGACGCAAAGTCACTGAACTTTGATCAATACATTCAATATATTTATCAGCTTATCACAGGATATCCAATGCTCAGACGCAAAGAGTACAAAAACCGCAAGGAAAGGATAGGTCAATATCTGCATTGGAAGATCTGACCGCGGGATAAAAACAGCCTCGATCTGGTATGAACATCATCCTGTATCTGTAATTGAGAGAGCAGATGTTACCATACTCTGGCATTTTTCTATCAACACAAATCGTAAAATACATCAAATCGCCCAGACATTATTAACAAACACAGAAAGGAAAAAAAAAGATTGCAAATTGATTAACAGTGACAAAACCAATTCTGCGAAAATATTTGAATAAGCACATACAAAGATATGCGGATGAAAATAGAACATATATGGCATTTAAAAACGAAAACTCTTCCTGGTTTGGCTCGAGATATGGCTCTGACAAAGAAAGAAAGTCAAGAATAAACAAAGTATATGTGCCATCTCCCCAGAAAATTCAAAAAAACTTTTAACAATTACAATGTCCAAAGAAATTCGTCAATTTAAGTTACTTTTTTTTTGTTAATAGCTGTTTTTATATTTCTTTAAATAAAACTCTCTGCGGCTGCTCGGTCCCACGTTGACTGCTGACCTGAGATGGAATAAATACATTGAGTCATTTGCTTTGTCCACCGCAAGGAAAGTTGGCTCCCTGTGCAGCGCCAGGAAATTTTTCTCCCCGGAATCGATCCTCCAGATCTACAAATCAACAATTCGCCCTTGCATGGAGTATTGCTGCCATATATGATCTGGGGCCCCTTTTGTTTGCCTCGGGGTTCTTGATAGGCTCCAGAGGCGGATATGCAATATAACTGGCCCTGCTCTGGCATCTCGTCTACAGTCAATTTCTCACAGACGCGCCGTCGCATCTCTCTGCCTGTTTTACAAATACTTTCATGGCAATTGCTCCTAAGAGCTACATTCTCTGGTTCCGAGACTTCGTGAGTTCAAGCGCCCTACGAGGCTGGCATCCCGCTCTCACCCCTTCACTGTCGAAACTCCTAAATGTAGCCGTCTCTTCTACTCTGATAGCTTCATGACTCGCACCTCTCGCCTGTGGAACTCCCTTCCCTATTCCAGTTTCCCTTAGAGCTATAATATCCAGCTATTCAAATGTAATGTCAATCGACAACTCCAGTTGCCTTGCTCTATCCACTACCCTTCTCCTTATCCTTTCTTCTATCACTCCTATCTGATCTTGCTCTAAATTTTCTGTAAGCCCTTGCGTCCTAGTGGCTTCCCGCCTTGTTTGGGGTGAAACGCTTAAAAAAAAAATTTAAAAAAAATGGAAATGATAAAAATCACATCCTTCACTTTTGCCCTAAGTCACTAGCTATGTGCCGACATGTGATTTTAAAAGGAATGTAGTTCAAAAATATTTATTTTAAATAATAATAATAATAATAATATGAAAATAAGGAAATTGAAATCAAGAATAGTATAAATCGTAGCAGGGCCGCTTGGAATGATAAAAAAAGAAACACAACAAAATATTGAAAATTCTCTGGAAATCACAGCTTCAGAGAAATACAAAAAATTGTCTTGATAAGTACAGCCCACACAGTAAGAAGAAGTTTGTCCATGTAACGCCCTTGATGTTATGGGAGTTAGAAAAACAAATCATAGAATGTAGCCATAACATCACACCGCTACCTGCCTTAGGTCCTGGGAATTTTTATTATTATTATTATTATTATTATTATTATAAAACAACAACAACAATAATAATAATAATAATGAAAATTGAAGAGATAATGGAAGAGAAATTCCAATGATTATCAGAAGAAAATGAAACAAAAAATGAACCAAGGGAAATCATTATGAACAGTAAGAAATAAGAAATTGAAAAAAAGATCAATAAGTAAAACCGATGGAAGAAAAACTAAAAAATATGACAAAAGAAAATAAATGCAGGAACAAAGAGTTGAGAACTAAAAACTAACAAAAAGAAAAAGAACAAATAAAATAGAAAATAAAAGAAGAAAAGTGAACGAAGAAATAAAAAAAAACGAAAGAATAAATTAATCCAAAAAGAACAAAGAATAACGCATGCATGTAAACGTAAACAAGAAGATTAAGAAAGAAAAAAGTGAAAGAAGAAAAACTATGAAAGAAAACTAAAACGAAGAAAAGGATGGAATTAAATAAAAAGGAATTAAAACGAAGCTTATCAAAAATAATACAAGGATTATGTAATGATTGAAGATTTCAAAAAGTAAGAAACATAAAAGACGAAAAAAATGTGTAATTTTATTTATTTTTTTACGTAATTTCACACAAAGCAATGTAATAATGTCACTACGTGGTCGAGCTGTCAGGAAGTGAAAGAGAATCAGCATACTAGTGAGGAGGAGGAAGGAAAAGACATTAGGAGAATAGGGTTCTGGAAGACAGAAGCTAACGATTTACGATAAAAAAATTTTTGGAGCTTGCAGGTGGCATGGAATCAAGACACCAAGAAAGAGTTCCACAGTAGAGACGTGCGAGAAAAGAAGTTGTCAGAATGGAAGAGACTGTTGCATCTAGCTAATTCAACAGTAAATCAATGGTTTGTTTCAAAATCAAATTGCTTGACCGGTTTATATTAGTTTTATATTCATTAAACGGAAGTAATTAAAAATCCAAACACATGGCACCTAATATGTGAATGCTTGTAAAATTTGCCGAATTAATATTTTTAAAAAAAATCATTGTCTTAGTCTTAGAAAGAAAGAATTTACTATATTTCAAGGGCGTGAGGAAAGTACCATGTGTTACGTGAAAGTAAAATATGATGGATGAAATGTTACAGTTTCTTCATAGCTACGTAACGCCATTTTAAACTCGGTGAAAGTTAGTAGTTTATCTTTTTGAGTTATGACTGTCGTGAATGGTTTGAATAACGGTGGCAAACCCTTCAAGACCATGGCTATTAGCAGCCCATCCGAGATAGTCTCACCTGCAATTTTTAAGGCATTTGTAACATTCTCCGCTCGGATGATATAATCGGTTATAAATTCATTTTCTCGTCTCTTTAATGCGGTTAGTTCAGTATATAAAGCAATAATTTTAGGCTTACCTTTTGACAAATAGTGTTCACGCAAAATTTGTAGAGCTCGCCTTCCATTGTCCTTCGCCTCTCTCATTATTAAAGACAAACTCCGGTCATCCAGGAATTGTATTAATTCAGCGAACACGGTCGCATTTCTTTCCATAAAATCATCATCCCCCTCCTGGTCGACTTTGCAAAGGATGATGCCATGGAGTTTTTGTATTCTGAGGTAGCCTAAAACCTTCGTCTCCCATAATTCATATCTCGATTCATTACCGTCAAAATATAATCGTGATCTGGGCTCATAACCAATGTTATTTATTTTGACGGTCGTCTTCGAGTATAGAATCCAGAGATTGGCAGTGAATATTTCGAAGACAGTAGGAAAGCGTTGTTCAGGTTAGCAGTGGATATTTCGATAAAAGTAGCAGAGCATAGTTCGTCCTTCTGAACTGGACATTCGGGTAGAGTGAACAAAAATGGCCACCTTTATACACGACGGATAGAATGTTCTGCGTCTTCTGATTGGTTAACCTTCTATTGGTAGACTATAAAGCGAGTCAAGGCATTTGGATTAACTCCCTAGTTATATATACATACATATACACAAAAAACTAGCATGAAATACAATATCGTTTGCCATGATCTTTCAGGACGTAGGCGGAGGGTCCATTTCTCTCTAAACATTCGTTTTCTTTATCATGTGTCAGTTACCATGAAGATAGTGGAGTGTTTTCGTGTTGCCTACTCCACGGTTTGAAATTCAGATTTGCCTTTCTCTTAGACTGGCTACCAACCTTATTTTGAGAGGCCAGTGAACATCAATATTAAACTCATAGTCAAGAGGAAAAGTGATGTATTTATAAGTTTCCAAAAGAAATTTCGTGAAAATGAACCCGGTCGTCTCAACATGCATATAAACTCAAACCAACGGAACTCCTCTTCGTGCTGATAACAGAATTAGACCAACTAAATAAAATGCATAAAGAGTTAGTCTGAATGAATTAGTTTGTTTTGTTTTACAGTATATCAACCACAATGGATTATTTAATGCCGATAACAATTTTTATTGGTGGTAATATTAATTTATTTCAAAAAATGTATAGCTGTCATTTGTTTGTTCAAAAATGTATCGTTTGGTTTGATTTTTTTTTTTTGGCAATAAACCTCAGTGGGTTATTTAATGCCGATAAAATTTTTATTTCTGGAAATTTTTTTTTTCAAAAATTTATTGCTGGTAGTAAATTTTTTCCAAAGTATTTCTGGTATAAAAAATATTTTTACACTTTCATAATGTTTTGAGTCAGGTTGGAGGGCAACTAATTGCCCATAGCTAGGACCCTAACAGGTGCTACCACCCCGAGTCAGAGTGGTCCTGGGAACACAAGCAATTAAGAGGTGGTTCCACGCTCCTGAAAACTTCCTGATCAGAGGCCTTGCTGTTGGAAGTAGCTTATTGTCTTACCCACGAAGCGGATGGTGTTTATCGTCTTACCCACGACGCGGACGTTATTTATCGTCGAACCAGGACGCGGATGTCGTTTATCGTCTTACCCAAGACGGGAATGAATTAGTGACAAATCGAATCAAAAAACTGAAATGCATTTAACCGCTTCTTCCTAAAATAATTATTAACGGTTTAGGTTAATTTGAACATTAACACCGTTTAATCAGCTCTGTACGTTCTTGAGTGCACCCATAACTGTAGCCTATTTCAAGACTCTGTCTTAGAGAGAGAGAGAGAGAGAGAAAGAGAGAGGGAGAGAGAGAAAGAGAGAGAAGGAGAGTGCGAGGGTTATAGACAGAGGGAAGACAGAGTGTGTGTAAGTAGCAGAAGAATAAGAGAATGTGTAAAAAGCGAAAGTGAGAGTGGGTAGTAGAAGATTCGGAGAGAGTGTGAAAGAGAGAAAGAGGGTAGTGTGTGGAGGAAAGATCAAAGGCAATGGCAAAGAGACACAAGAGATGGAGAGAGTATATAGTATAATTATGAGAAAGTGTGTGATAAAAGGAAATGAGAGAGTGAGTAGTAGAAGATCCAGAGTGAGTGTGTGTGTAATATATAGAAAGAGAGCAACTGTATAGTAGAAAATAAGATATAATGTTCAAAAGGAAAAAAAAAGGAGGATTTGTTGGAAAAAATGAGAGAAGGGAGTAGATAAATATGAGAGAATTTTCAAGATGAAAATGGAGAGTAAGAAAAATTATCGCCATGCAAGTAGGATAATTTTAAAGAGAAGAAGAGGGATATTGTTTAGTGGAAGCATCATAAAGAAAGTGAAAGAGAAAAATAGATGGATTGTGAGTGTAAAACAACAGTACAGAGATTGCGTGCATACCAAATTAATCAGAGGGTTTTAAAGAGAGAAAAAGAGAATATGCATATCAGAAGAATCAGCGCGATCATTACGAAGTAAAAGAAAGAGGCAGTGTAGCAGAAGACAAAAAGTCCAATATAGAAAATACAAATAGAACGTTATACACATTAAATCATCGTAAACAAGCTTAAAGAGAATGAGATGGAGACGATAAGAAAGAGTAAGAAATAGGACAAAAGACAGAGAGAAAAGCGAAAAAAAAATATAGTAAGCTCTGCGTTTAGCGGTACTATTGCCTAGATGTGTGAAATATTGCTGGGTCGTCAGCCAAAATATGATTAACTATTGACTGCTATCCAGAAATGTATTGCCACATAAAATTATGGGTTTGATGTGACCAAGGCAATCGATAAGTTTGCTTCGCAGCTTTCACCACCATTTGGGATGGGACTGCCCCCGGGTTTTGGTAGAGGAAATAATAATTGAGAACGTTGAATATTGGGCGCTTGTCCGCGATCTGCGGTTCCTGAATTAAAACTGTCACTGGACGGGAATTACATTGTTCAGTCTGACATTACCTTAATCAACATTCAATTTCTTCTCCGTTATTATATGCCAATTTTTAACCGTTATCAGGACGACCACCATAATTTCATTGGCTGCCATCTACAGCAACACAGTTGTCCGTATATGCAATACCAATAAACAAAGAAACGAAGTTAGTATTTCCGGTTCCTTTACAAATACAACTTCCGGGTGTACTTTTGGATTACTGTGATTATTGTGATTGTCAATTCGATCTCGTCAGCACCGGTGGGGATAATAAATGAATTTATTGTACTGTGCACTTACACAGCAAAGGAACCAAGAAAAAGAAATAATGGAAAATATATGATACAAAGAGAAGGGCAAAGATAAACTTTCTATTCCCTAAAGATATGTAAACAGAAACGCTGAAGACAGCTAAACATGTAAAGATAAAAATTGATCACTTTTTACTGCAGCTCAGAATCACAGATGCCAATGTAAGAAAAAAAAAAGACGAGCCGAAACCAAAAAAATTAAAGAAAAGACCAAACATGTTATTGGGAGCAAAGAAATATAATGCTATTATTTAAACAAGCGATATGTTTAATCTGAAAATATTTCTAATTTTCATAAACGGCATTTTACACTTTGTTGAGTAGGATAAAAAGTATATAAAAATTGATTCTTAGTCAACTATGTGCGTCGACTAAACCTTTAGTATAATAATAGTATTGTAGTAAATGAAAGTTGACTGAAAATAAATATGGAAGTAGGCAAAGTAAGAGATTGTAATAAACCGCAACTACACCAACGATATCTCGTTTGGAGCATGGGAAATAATATTATGAAAGCAAAAAATGGGCTATCCTAGAAAATAAGAAATATTCTCAGTTTGAAAATGTACACAAATTAGTAAATTCATGGCAAATAGTAAAAAAGACTTCTATCGAATCGTGATATTAGCCTTCTGCTTAGCTTGTAGATCAGTGATAAAAAAAAAATAAAAGTACAATTCCAGAAATAATCATGGTTAACACCCGGAATATAATAGATTCTAGATTCCGAAACGACTGTTATAATCTCGAAGCCAAATTGCAGAGATTACAATTTCATGGATAATTTTATCCACGAAACATTTCAGAATTCTTCGATTTCATGGACGTCGAGACTAATGAATAGGTTTTTGAGGTTTGAATCAAACTTAGTACCATTTGATCTTTATCTAATTCAAACATACACTTAAGAAAAATTTGAAATCGTGAAACGTGACTAATGATATAAGCAAGAATACTTCTCCTTCTCCACAGCCTGTCAAGCTCCATTGTTGCACGTAAGCCTTCCACAGATTCACGGGGAAAAATAAGTCATTACCCGAACACACAGTCAAAATGCCTGTTGGTAGGAGCGAATGTGACACGCTTCGGTGATCATATTTCTTTTAATTTGATCGGGACTCTCAACGTGCTGTAGTGGTTAGCAAGCTTGTCTCTCTAGAATTATTACGACAAAGTAGTGAGTTCGATCCTCACCGGGTACCCTACACATCCAGCATTGTGACACATCTTAGTTACGCTTAGCATATTTTTTTTTCAATTCATGATCGTCCATGTGTATTCACGCGTAAATGAATAACAAGACTGACTAGAATTAAATCTAGACTCCCTCATTTCCAGCCTTTATCCATTATAACACTTCTTATTTCTTGGTATATCGTCAATCTATGTACTAACCAGGCTTGACATGGCAAAACTCAGTTGATCTGCTGAGAACCGTTGTTTTAGCGTGATATGGCCGTAAACCATAAGCAACAGATAGGGAATGGAAATTCTCTGAATAGTTGAGGTTTCTACGAAGTACGAAACTATAACGAGTTGAGGAGCTGATGAAATGACAAAACTTACTGGTCAATATTCTTGTAGGTCAAAAAGTAAACAATGAAGAATGGGAAATTCTTGATAACTCTTTGGATCCTGCTAGGAAACAAAAGTTTTTTTGTTTTTTTTTTTTTGCAATATATGACGTAAACGAGACAATACAATAATATCAGACTACTTGGAAAACGCCTGCAAAGACTAGAAAATATTCGACTGGTAGCAAAATTCTGGTCATTTTGACAACCTTTTAAGTGTACTTTTTCACTAGTTACGGTAATCAACTATTAATTGTTATATTAAAAATATCTTCTGTTTTGCAGAATTATTAATACTATAACTTTTCAACTTCAAAATGATAATAATCAACTTCAAAATGGACTTATTTTCAAGTAAAAAATGTTAAATCCTATTGACAAGGTCTGGTCAGTCATTAAAGCTGACGTAAAAAGAAGGATAGCAGACTCAATTGTTGGGATTTTAAGAGGTGATGGCCAGTGATCTTTAACTACTAAAGAATTCTGCCTCAGCAAGTTAGAAGCGATTATCTCCGAGGCAATTAATAACTAACTTCGTATTTGGAATACTGGGATTACTTCCCTCTGTAATTAACTTAGATGATGTAATATTTTAAATAAATTTCTTAGGAACGTTTATATTTTTTATATCCATTTTAAGTAGAAATAAAAGAATAAGTATTAAATTTATTAGTATTCTATTAATTCTCAATTTGAAGTTGATTAATCCAATTTGAAGTTGATTATTTCTCATTTTGAAGTTGTTTTCCAATTTGAAGTTGATTAATCCATTTTGAAGTTGATTGATTTTGAACAAGATCAGTATTAGACACTTTGTTGCGTGAACTGGAAAATGTTACTTCAGCACCAGAATTGCCAAGAAATATTAGTTCTTTTATAGCAATAACATTTTAACTGCGATCTTTTGACTAGCTTCATTCGGCGAGTTCTTTCTCTCGAAGATTCTCACGATCTAGACCACCAATTTTTGTCAATATTCAGCGGCTGCAAAGACCTTCGATTATGTAAGCCGATAGATATTATTTTCTTTGTGTATCCACGAACAGGGACGGTAATTCAAACATACGTTCCGATAAAAATAACGGTCATAAGAATAATAGTATTATACTAAATCAGAGCTGATTCGGCAGGCGGACTGAAAAGAAATAAGAAAGTAGAGATATTAGGAGAGTGTAATAAGACGTCAGTTGTGACATAACAGAAACGACTACGTAAACTGCATGAGAATCAGAGAAATATTTCAATGCAAGACTTTGATCATAAAACAACATCATGATCACGCAAATATGTCTAAACCTGCTCAATAGAAGCGTATTATCTGGCTGCTTTATACCTTATATATATATATTTGTCATTAAAGAGTAGATTATTTGCTGTAGAATTGATGTTTTGAGTAAACACCAGAATCAAAAGTCATTTCTCTATAATAATATCTCCCCAAAAATAGAAAAAAATGCTTGAAGAAGAATCAATCTACAGCACAGGACTGCAGCCAAAAATGTTGTTTGCCGGGATAAAACGTTTGTCGTCTATCATTAAGTACTAAACTAAAACACTAAAGTATGCATTGTCGTCAATTGTAAGTGTTTCATAAATCTCACCCGAGAAGTCGACCATCATTGGTTAATTAAAACAGTTATCTTGCTTTTATACTATAATGCATACAGTGATAAATATTACGGCACGACAATATGGAAGTTTGTCATATCCACCTTCATTTCATGCTGCTGCTTCTTTCTGACATGGTTACGACTGATACTGTGTTTATTTTCATCGGAGGAATGTTACGCTAGATAGGTAAACTATTCCCAAATAGGATAATTCTATTGACAACAAGGAGAAACATTATCTTGATTATGTTTTTTACAGTAAATTTTACCCTGTACAATGCCCCGATGCCATCCAATGTAGTGGATTACGTAAAGGGGTAGATTTTTTTTATGAATAGGAAGGGAAGATAGGGGTTAACTCTAGACATGAACATGTTAAGATTGTAGTGATCGAGAAAACATCCTCTTGGGAGTCTGTTCTACAGGAGGGGTGGTTCGCGTGGAGAAGCTACATCAATCAAGGAACATCTGTATCGTTTACATCTTCGAATGATACATGGCGTTCTTTCCAATTTAATACAGGGTGTAGCAAAGGTAACGCCCATTTTATTTAATAAATATTTTGAACAGAAAACAATTACAGTAATTTCAATTATAAGTATTGTTCCAACAAAAAATATGATTTGTTATCAAAAACTATTTAACACATTTAAAATGCTTTTACTTATGTTCATTAACATATCAGCATAACTTTTGCACACCATTTGAAACATTTCTATATTAATTTCAGATAATTCATCAGAAAAGGCTCGTTTTACTTCAGAAAATGTTTTTGGTTTGAGGCTGAAAACAGGACTTTTCCGTACACCCTTCAAGAAAAAATCTGGTAGTTTTAGGTCTGGTGATCGT